CTGATATATTGCACGTTTATGATTTACTGTATGCTTTTGACACTGAAGAAATTGCATGGCCTTCTCTCATTAAAGTGGTTGCTTTCCTTTACAATATTTTCTTGAAGTGTTATGTATATTCTGAGAATTTATATAAATTAATAGTAGCATTTAATTCCCACTATTTCATTAAAATTCTTCCCTGCTATATAAGTAAAGTCACAATTAGAGCATCTCTCTAAGAGGAAAAAGTATGTGTGTGCAGAGGAGGGGGTACTTCACCCCTGAAACAATGTCCATTGGACTTGAGATGCATTGATGTGTAAAGAATTACAATTCACTGAGCATTAAAACTGACAACAAGAGATATTTTGCAGGCTAAAAAAAACAACAAAAACCCAGTGACAGTATTTTGTACAGCCAAAAAACAATGCAAAGAAAGATATTTTATTGTTTATAATAAATCCCTGTTCTTTTCTTTCAGAAGATGTTGAATTTAAAGACAGTGAAGTAAAACATTACAAAAGGTAATTTATTATTAAATATATTCCACTTCTTAATTATTCAATGCACTACTTGCACCTCAATATTACTTTGCTAATCTGTATATTGAAATAAACCAACTGTAGATATGATATGAAATAAAATTTCTGTTAGAAACAAAAGAATTTATGAATCAAAGCCAGAAAATATTCTGTTCAAAGCAGAAAATATGAGTGTAAAAAAACTATATAAATAGAGAAGAAAAAAGAACCCTGAAAACTGATGATCTTGAATACTAATGGTAAACTTTTTCCCAATTGCAAATAAGAACACCAGCTTCATTCCCTCACACGCTTCTTTCCTTTTTAGAAATTAAAAGTTTAGAGGGTCACATTCTTCTACTGCATTGGTGATTGCAACAGTCTTAGCCTAAGGTGACCAGATTTTAACATTGGTAAAGAGGGACATTGTGGGCGTGGCTTATTTTGTGGGCGTGGCTAGCTGGTCACGTGACTGGGTGGGCATGGCTAGCTGGTCACGTGACTGGGTGGGCGTGGCTAGCTGGTCATGTGACCGGGTGGCCATGGCTATGTGTATAGGGACTACTCAGAGGGCTGAAAAGTCATTTCTGACAGGTCCTCACACTTTTGACTGGTCCTCACACTTATGACCATCCTCACATTTATGCCCGTGCAGTATTCTTAACAACCATGTCACTCATTTCACAACTGCTTCTCTTCACCATGATGACAAGATAGGGCAAAAATGTAAAATGTGAGGACAGTCGTAAGTTCGAGGACTGGTCAAAAGTGTGAGGACCAGTCAAAAATAACTTTTTCAGCCCTCTAAGTAGTCCATATGCACAAAAGGACTAACCAGAGGGCTGAAAAAATCATTTCTGACAGGTCCTCGCACTTTTGACTGGTCCTCACACTTATGACCATCCTCACATTTATGCCCATGCAGCATTCTTAACAACCATGTCTATTTATTCATATTTGTTCTCTTTTATTCTTTAAAGTTTAACCATTCATTCTTTATCTTAATATCTTTATATTTGTTTGGGATTGGCTTTCTTCCCTTTCATCTTTTTTATTGTACAGCAATCTTTCTCCTCAAACCTACCACCTCTCTCTTTTCTTTCCTTCTTACTTTCTCTTCCCCCCCCTCTTCTTCTCCTCCCTACTTCCTCTTCCTTTCTCCTTCTCCTCCTCTCTTCCTCCCCCTCTTACCTTCACTCCTACTCTAATTTCCCTTCCCTTCCTTCATCCCTCTCTATTGCTGTATCCTTTTATGCATATGGACTACTCAGAGGGCTGAAAAAGTTATTTTTGACTGGTCCTCGCACTTTTGACCCAGTCCTCGAACTTACGACTGTCCTCACATTTTACATTTTTGCCCTATCTTGTCATCATGGTGAAGAGAAGCAGTTGTGAAATGAGTGACATGGTTGTTAAGAATGCTGCATGGGCATAAATGTGAGGATGGTCATAAGTGTGAGAACCAGTCAAAAGTGTGAGGACCAGTCAAAAATAACTTTTTCAGCCCTCTAAGTAGTCCATATGCACAAAAGGACTAACCAGAGGGCTGAAAAAATCATTTCTGACAGGTCCTCGCACTTTTGACTGGTCCTCACACTTATGACCATCCTCACATTTATGCCCATGCAGCATCCTTAACAACCATGTCACTCATTTCATAACTGCTTCTCTTCACCATTGTGATAAGATAGAGCAAAAAACGTAAAATGTGAAGACAGTCGTAAGTTCGAGGACTGTCAAAAGTGCGAGGACCAGTCAAAAATAACTTTTTCAGCCCTCTGAGTAGTCCATATGCATAAAAGGATACAGCAATAGAGAGGGATGAAGGAAGGGAAGGGAAATTAGAGTAGGAGTGAAGGTAAGAGGGGGGAGGAAGAGAGGAGGAGAAGGAGAAAGGAAGAGGAAGTAGGGAGGAGAAGAAGAGGGGGGGAAGAGAAAGTAAGAAGGAAAGAAAAGAGAGAGGTGGTAGGTTTGAGGAGAAAGATTGCTGTACAATAAAAAAGATGAAAGGGAAGAAAGCCAATCCCAAACAAATATAAAGATATTAAGATAAAGAATGAATGGTTAAACTTTAAAGAATAAAAGAGAACAAATATGAATAAATAGCAGTAATTAGAAACACACATACAAACATACAATTTATTTTCTTTGAACAGAGTATTTGGCCGGTTCACAAATTTAAACAGTGTTTAGTCACTTCAATTAAATTTACAATTTCTATATTTCCTTTTTGCCATATTTATTCCTCATCTATTTTTTAAAAAAAACCAATATTACCCTTCATCCTCATCTCTAATCTTAATCAAATTCAATTTTTCCCTTCTATTCTATATCCCTTCCCATTGTCATCTATTTTTATATCCATCCTCACATTGTTTAATTATGTAATTATGTAATACAGTTGTTTAATACAAATTCAACATTTTAATATAAATCAATTAGTTATAAAACTATCTTTTTTGTATATTAATCAATATGAACATGAATATTCCTATTATTTCCATGCAATCCAATTTCTTACAAATCAATTAATTATATTTACCAATAATAATAAACCAAATAATTTCCCCCATATATTCCTCTGAACCACAACTTAACCATTTCTGCTTTCAACACAATATACAATTAATAGTATCTCAATTATTACAATTCCCTAGTTAAATACAGCTTTTTTTTCTTTTGTGTTTTAAAATCTTGAACTCTCCTCCTAAATTTCCCATTGTTTGCAGTTTTTCACCTATCTTTTTTGGGGAGGAAAAATAAAAATAAAAATAAATCTCTCTCTGCCTCATTTTGTCACGTTGCACCAAAGATCCTGATTTCGGTTTCGTTTCTGCAGCTTAGCTAGGGGAAAAAAAAACTCTTTACACTGATTGCCTGTAGGGCGGCCCTTTGAAGCCCCGGGCAAGAGTTTAAACAGTTTTTTTTTCTTCTAGCCATCAGCTGGGGCTCAAGAGGCAGCGGGACTGAGGAGGCAGAATGAAAAATCGGGACTTTTTGAAACGCCGCGGGACGCGGGACAAATTGCTAAAAATCGGGACTGTCCCGCCAAAAGCGGGACGTCTGGTCACCTTATCTTAGCCCAAAGTTGCCTCAAACTATGAGATGGGTAGCATATAAATTTAATAAAAATAAATAAATAAATGTCTTACCTTAACATATTTATAACAGGATCTACACTCCCTTTGGGTTGTTCGATTTCCCTTAGACTTGAAAAAAATTAGCTTTCCTTGTATACCTTCTTTTTCAGTCCCTCCTTTTTTTTCTTTTCTTTTCCAACCACTCCATGTCCTCTTCTAGTTTCAGCTCTTCTAGCTGCAAGGTAATCATCTGGGAACACTGCCTTAATTCCTGCATCTGGATAACACAATTGTATCCAAAACCAAATAGGACCAGGAAGGAGTGTAGGAATTGTTCCAAAACAATTTCCTCCGTATATCCTCCATATTCTGTCCCTCTGACTGTAACCATTTTCTAATTAAGTCTGCTACTCTTGCTCAAAGTTCTCTTAATCTTTCCTGTATGTGCTACTTATATTCCAGGAATTTCTGCTTGTAACTGTACTTTACAACTTCGTAATGATAGAGGATCTCCTCTTTTACTGTCTTGTAATCCACCACCTTTTGATCATGAAGACTTGTTTATACCCTTAAAGCCTTTCCTGTCCAACATGGGGCTAATCTAGCCACCTAATGCTCTCTCAGACATTTACATGACACTGTTACTTGTTCAAAATAGTGAGGTCTATGACCTCATTCTTACTGAATTTATGTATTTTATATCCCTAATCCAGGGAGCATTTCTTTTTTTTAAAGATAAAGCTATGCTCAAAATTGAGCTAGAGCTAGCCAAACATGGAGAATCTTGTCCAGTGGTTTCTATGTTATTGAGAGGGGAAATTAGCTTTTTAAACTCCATCCTCCAAACTTCTCTCTCAGTTCAACCAATGCAAGCTTGCTTTCACATTCATTTTCTTCTTCATATTCTTCCATTTGCTGTTCAACTGCTGCCTTTGCCTTTTCTTCTTCTAACTGCTGGTGCCTGGACATGTTTGTGATGCCAGGGAACTAGAATATAGATACCAAACACTGATTCCTGCTTGGCTTCTTATCACACACCTCCATTCTTATCACACACAATACCATGTGTTGCTCATCCTCTGCAATCTTGGATCCCACTGCTATCACCACCAGTGAGGTTTCTTTGTTTTCTGAGGACTGGACACACCACAGCATAGAAGACAACAAACAAAATACTGTAATTTAGCACACACCTTCTCGCCTTGGGTTAACTATACCCTCATATCATGTAACTAAGTGGTTAGCCCTTATAATAAATAAAAACCTTGAAGTCTGTAAAGAGTCATACAACCTTTGCCTTCTTCCAAAAGTTCTTGCACTGGTTGGGTGTCTCAGTGTGGTTCCTCCTTTCCTTTGCTGGCCAGCTCCAGGCCAAGCTCTAAGTCTAGCTCCAGGCAGGGATGACATCATAATGGGCAGTTTACCATAGCTTCTGTTGCTGGCAGTTGACTGATAGCTCTCTTGCTTACTGGTAATAGTCATATATTCCACATGTCATTTTCCACTTCCTCATTTGCTTCTTATCACCTACTTTTTCTTTCCCATACATGCACACTTTTGTAGATGAAGGCTCTGGGTGGGGTGAAGCTATTTTTTCTAGAAATTTTACTTTTTTACAAAAAGAATAAGAGGACTTTTACAACTTGGCATCAAGGACTAAGTCTTCAGAGAAATGAAGATCATATACAGTATTCTTTTGTGCATGTGTAATGCCTAGCTTTTCTCTTATCTCCATTTATAGCACTCATTTTATAGTAACATAATACATTCCATCTTCCTTGCAGTTTAAATAGCTGTCACCCGTATTTACCTTGATTTGTCTTTTTATTTTGAAGATCCACATGCAGTGATCTTTTCCCCATATGCAGGAATTGATGTATGTCTTTTGTTCTGAACAACTACAGATGGCTTATTTGGAAGAATAGATCAAAGCAAAGCAAACAATAGGGAAAAATGGAATTCAATGAATGAGGTAAGTCATATAACAGAAGTGCACTAGAAATTATAATATAGATTTCATAATGTGTCCAAAAATTATACATAAACTCATGTTTCAAAAAAAGTAAGTGTGCTTTTGAAGATGGGGTAAAAGACCTACTTTTCTTCAAGTCAATGCTTAATTTGTCACTGATTGGATGAGATCTTTTTATTTTATTTTTTAAAAAATCTATATTTACTGCCCCTTTCCACCCAGCACGGGTAAGCAAAGCATAACACCTGATCACTAATTCCATCCAGATGACAAAGCAAAGTAGATCCAAGCTGAGGTCCATTTTCAGCCATGGAATTTCACTGGGTAATTTTGGTCTACCAAACTAATTTAATATGGTGACTGTAAGAGAGAAAATGGAATAAAGTGAAAAATATGTACTGTTGGAAAGATAGGATATAAATCTGTCCAGAGTTTTGTTTCTTAAAATGGGCATGCATATAAGTCTTTCAAATAAATAAATAAATCTATATTCTTCAGTATAAGTCTTTACTCTCTGAAAGACTCCTCAGGTGGCTTTTTATTTCAGTTCCTCATAATTAGTGCTACTAAACAGGCTTACACAATTCATTATCTACCACATTGCAAACAGACTACAAGTTACACAGTAAATAATTTTTTCATGCCACTGTGGACTGCAAAAACATGAGTGATCTAAAACATCTGTCAGGTCTCATTACATAGTTCTTGAGTAGCATTCCATTTGATGAGTTAACTGAAAATGTTTTTCCAAACCTACTATATAAGAAGGGTGATTCAAGAGCTATCTTTATTTATTGTAGCATCTGCAGCCACTTAATATAGCACAGAAAAAAGGAGTATCCATTGCTAAAGAAGAGAACAAAAGATAAAGTGAAACAAAATTTGCATAAAAATTAACCATGATTTAAACAGAAATACAATAAGTATTGACAAATAGAACTGAATATTCTCAAAATGAAAATTTGATTTTTAAAATTTATTTCCAATTCTAAAAGATACTAAAGCAATATTTTTGAATGTATAACCATTAGATGCAGTTTTAAAAAATGAAATCATACAAATTATTCAAATTGGCATACATTTTTAAGGCCAATTCATGAAACAAACTGAATTCAAATTCTGTCTGTTCTTGCAAAAGGCTTTAATGTCTAGTTTAGAGGACAGAACATAAAAAAAGAATGTAAGAAGCAGCAAAAGAAAAATCCTGATGTTTCTTAACTCTAAAAGAACTCCCAGTATGTTTCCTAGAAGCTCCAATCCAGGTTTCCTGTACTTTCTCTTTTCGTGTGTGTGTGTGTGTGTGTGTGTGTGTGTGTGTGTGTGTGTGAGAGAGAGAGAGAGAGAGAGAGAGAGAGAGAGAGAGATACTTTAAAAAGTAAATAACCAGATTTGTAGACCAGCATGATACAAAGGGGTGAATCTTTATTCAATATTGCTTCTGACCTCCAGAGCCATAGTTCTAAATTTAAATAAGTAGATGATCGTAGTCCAAGTTTGATTTTAAGGAAAGGAAAAGGGGGGAAAGGTAATCTAGGATGTGAGAGAGAATCATGAGAACAGTGCAAATATTAAATTGATTTGTCACCACATTTCTTCTCAGGTTACTCATAAGTTTGCTTGCTGAAAAAGGGATGCTGAAGCATAAAATCATTAATGGAAAAGATTGGAACTGAACCCCCAGTGTTGCCTTTGTACATAAGATATGATCAAAGCAGTTTGTTTTTTTGGTCACTTTGTTCTTAGAAAAATTGATGTTCCTTTACTTGCTATCCCACCAGCTCCACGGTTATAAGCATTTTATAAATGGGCAACCCTATTCATGGCACTCAAAACAATGCGCTGAAAAGCCAAAGCATTTGAGGACCCCAACTTTAGACTCAAAAGGTTGCAAACCTATTCACACTGCCTTAGAAAAAGCAATGCTTCACTTCTGAATAGAGATATACAGAACATACATTTTTGTTGTTTCTGAGACATTTTTTCATAACACTTGAGCTGAACAAAATAAAATAAAGCAGCACACCAGTGTGCAGCTGCAGTAAAAATAACAAACAAGGCAAATTCCATTCAAGGATAAGAAATCCAAATAAAACATTCAGGGTATCAATGTTTTTTATGGTAAGATCATATTTGGAACACTATACAATTCCGGTTGCCACCTCTCTAAAAGGACATAATAGAGATGGTAAATATGCAAATACAACATTATGGTAAAAAGTTAATATTATAAATAGCTTGTCCCCAGATTGAGGTTTCCTCATCTACAGCAACTAACTGGAATACAAAATTACTGGAAAAACTAATTAAGAGCCAGATGTGTGAATAATTAAAGATAGGTTCAAGTCCCAGAAAGCTGTACAATCTAACAATTTTTTAAGGTACTGATTCAGAATCATATACTGCTGTCAGTCTAAGCATCATCAACATTAAAAATTCCATTTTTTAGAGAGTAAATTAGAAACCAAACATTAAAGAGGAGAAGTCTAAAAATAGACACCAAAATTCACCAGCTAACCATTCTATCTTCTACAGTACATTGACACCTAATAACAGATTGCAGGCAGTATAACTAATGTATTTAAAACATCACTCACAGACTGGGGAAGATAAATAGACTTAATATATGTGGTCTGAACCAGAAGGGATTCGCATTTCAAAAGAAACACTGTTTTAACTGAGATCACCAAATGCAGAAAGACAAACATTTTGTTTGCATACCATCATCTACTGATCCTGTCTACACATTATGTTGCATTATATGACCATATGTAAACTTTGAATTTCTGAAAGACAGATAAATGGGCTAAAGAGCCTTGGTAGCACAGTGGACTAATGCACTGTTATTAACATCTGCTGCTTGCAATTACTGCAAGTTCAAATCCCACCAGGCTCAAGGTTGACTCAGCCTTCCATCCTTTAAAAGGTAGGTAAAATGAGGACCCAGATTGTGGGGGCAATAAGCTGACTTTGTATAAATATACAAAAGTATGAAGGCTATTGTTTGGCGCATTGTGAGCCGCCCTGAGTCTCCAAAGAAAGGCGGCATATAAATTAAAGCAAAAAATAAAAAATAAAAAAAAATCACACACATCCAGTCCAGATTGTTTCAATGTACTATACAATGACATCATCTACAAATCAGTTACATGCCAAATCAAAACCTCTGGCTGCTCTCCAGAAAATAGTTTTTTCTTCTCGATCTTGTCTTTTGATTTCTTTATCACTTAAAAATGGTGATATTCACAAAATCCCTGAAAGTGGTTTGCTCACTATAGCTAGCAAGAAGGTGAAGGACAAACAGGCTGAGTTTACTCTCTGCTGGATGGATTTGGCAATCCAACATATTATTGAGAGGCAGAGCTTACTGAGAAAGCTTAGCGGAGAGGTCAGGAACACAATCACCCCTTCATTGATAGACAGGAAAATGTGGGGGCCCACAGACATAAGCACATAAATATGTATCTGCTTCCATACTCATAGTACTGTTATACTTGTCCCCACTCTTCCAACTATTCTAAGTAGAGTCACCGAGGAGAAATAGTATTGAGGCTTGTTCTATTCATGACAATCTGCTTGCACAGTGCTTTCAGATTGCTGGATCAAACTATATTTTAGTGACCAAAGATCTAATCCAGTTTAACATGCAGTAGTATAATCTGGCAAGCGTGATTTATTGTAGCAGTGCAACTTTCTTGACAAGAATGTTTGCATTGCTTTGCACATATGGTCTTCAGTTTACTACTTGTTGAAATGTCCCAATGCTTATGCAAAAAGAGAAAATAAGAATGAAAGGTTTGTAATACAGTCTTTCCAATTTATACCAATTCAGGTAACTGGTAGAAGTTTAAATAGTAGATGTCTTACTATATAAATTGAAGGAAAATTTTAAACTCCTTATTTTTGCAAAACTAGCATTTCATGGGTAGAAATATGGTTGTTGTTTTTTCTGGATTTATTAACTGGAAATTTTGACTACTTTAATTATTACATTGATCTAGTTGGCATTTCATGGGTAGAACTATGGGGTTTTTTCTAGATTTAGTAACTGGAAATTTTGACTCCTTTAATTATTACATTGATCTAGTTGGCAGATTGGTGAATCCAAATTGGTGGATTTTAGCTGATTTTGGAAAGCTTAACAGGATGTTAGATAGAAAAGGCAAAGAAACATTTTGGAAAAAGGCAACCACTTCTAAATTCATAAAACTCATGGATGTCATCAGAGATTGAGCTAACTCAATAAATTTTTTACAGTACCATAACACTTATTTCTTAATCTTAAATCACATATCTCAACTATTACCATCTTATAAAAAGTTTATAAGTAAATAGAATATATAACATTTTGTTAAAGATGACAAAAAATTGAACAAATTTATGACTGGATCAATGCTCTGTTCTGAAAAGATGTATTGTATGTTTATTTGTATGTTTAAAAAAAATAAAAAAAAATAAAAAAATTGCAAAAAAAAAGTAATTTTTTACATTACATTGGTATAATCATTTTCTCCTAATATTTGTTTTTAAAGCAGAACTGTTGGTAGCTTAATAAACTTTCATAAAATTAATGAATCTTAACCAGAATTAGACAAATAGCAACAACTGTAAAACAGGAATACACTAAATTATTCTGGATACAATATGAAAATAATACCTAAAGCTTATTTTAACAAGCATTTAAAATGTAAGAATTGTTCCTGATACTGTTTTTAGAACTGTAACTTAATGAACTCTATGACAAATATTGCATTTTAATTGTGTTTTTAAAAACTTTCTGGCTTCTTTCTACCCCAAAAATACTCAAAGAAACTAATTCCTGTGGACAAAGTCAAATGATAGGCATCTGTGGTAAATTAAATCAAAATGGGCCACTTTGGAACCTCTGAAATGTGGTCAGATTCAAGCAAGCTGTCCTCAAAATTTTGAACTTCTTTTGGAAAGGCATCCCTACTCTTATTTATTTATTTATTTTAAATTAAGAGTTAAATAATTCAAACAAA